AGGGCGATGCCGCCGCGGGGGCTGGATTGTGCTGGCACGTGGATGCAGCCAGGTGAGGTCGGGGTCCGGCGTCGGGGTGAAGGAGCCCCCCAGGTTTGACCCGAAGGACTTGGGGGTGGGTGTGGAGGTGGGGACGGGGCAGGGGGAATCAACCGGGCTGAAACAAGCGGCTCCACCAATAAAGCTCAGCCCCGCGGAGATGCTCGAGCGTGTGGTACCCAACGCCGTGCTCCGCCTGCATCCCTGGGGATGCTCCAGGAGCAGAAACGTTTCCCGCTGCCGGAAAATCCACGGAAAGATGCTGGAGCGACACCAGCGAGGGCCGGGAAACATAAAGCAAGAGGGGGATCAGGGGTGCATGGGGGCCAGGTGTCCCGAACCCTTCTGCAAGGTCCCTTCGTCCCCTCTTCCCCTGCTCTGGCTCCTCCACGAGGCTCCCGGGGAAGCGACCAGCAAAAATTCTGCCCCATGGGCAGAGGAAATCCCCAATTTCGGGCACTTCTGGGCTGCCAGGGGGGAGGAACCAGGAGCCAAAAACCTGCCCAGCACCCTCAAAACTCCCCCTGCGTGCAGGGCGCTTCAGGGGAGCCTGAAATGCTGAGTAACAGGGAAAAGCACCGAGAAAGCCGGGAAAGGCTCAAAGCAGGATCTGGCGGCTGCAGCCGTGGGGAAGGGCAGCATTTCCAAAGCCCCTCTCCCCAGCAGAGAAACCTCCTCCTCCTCCTCTTCCTCCCCGAGCGCAGGGAGGGACGGGGGCACCATGCCAGGGTCCGAGCCCCGCTGTGGCGCAGGGGGACAACGCTGGTGCCTCACCCCCCCGCCACTCCCCCCCAGTCCACGTTAGGGCTCAGCTCCTGCCCTCCAACCCCCCAAATCAGGATTTTTCTCACCAGAAAGGCCCTTCCCGGCCACCCCACGGGGTTCTTTCCATCGCCGTGAGTCCTCCAACCGCCCCCCCGAGCTCCTCGGCCGCCTCCTCCAGCCCCAGCCATCTCGCTCTGGCTCCGTCCTTCTGTATAAAGGCCTTTATTTGACTTAATAGCAAACAGAACACTGGTTGAAATCGAGTGTACGTAGTACACTGCTTACAGCGACGAAGCGGCAACACGTTTAGACGCGACCTTCCTCTCCCTCCCGCTCGCCGCCGGGCCGAGCCGGGCTTTAACAGAGCCCCGGGGTGGTTTAGTGGGTGCCCTCGGACGATAAAAACAAGGAGTCAGACATGGGTGAAACATTACAGGAGGCAGGAGGGGGGGAAAAAAAAAACCAACAAGAAACAAAAAAAAACCAAACCCAAAAATAAAACAAGGGAGGAAAAAAAAAAAAATCTGCAAAAATAGAGATTCTCTTAAAGTGAGGGGAGTAGGGGAGGGTTAAGGTCGCGTGTTAAAGACGGAGGGGGCGGCCGTGGCACGGGCGACGCGCGGGTGCGTCTGCTTCCCGGCCGGCTGCCCTCGCTGTGGTCCATGCGCTCCAAACCAGCTACGGATCCTAAATGACTCGCTGGGGGTAAGGGGGGGGGGCACCGGGTTGGGCAGGCCCGGGGGGGG